AGTTTGGAATTCTCTTCTGGGGGAAAAGCCATTTCTGATTTGCTTTTAATCTAGACTAGAGAAGTAATTGATTTAGCAGCATACAATACAACAAGCCTTTCTTTAGTTTAAGAACTTATTTGTAGTTGCCAGTTGTTCCATATTATCTATAATTTTTTTAAGCAGTCATTTTTTTGCTTTTCAGGAAAACTTTGTGACTTTGGCTCGTAATTTCTTTCTGCCTAATGTTGTATAGGTTAATCCTATGAAGTTTTTCAACCATTTCTATTCTGTAGGTGTTAAATATTCAGATACAGATTATGTATGCATTTTGATTCTTATTTATATTCTGACTTTTGAACTGTGTTGTGTCTTTATTCACATCTCTAGTAGAGTGCCTGAGGAATAATGAAGAGAAAGTGAAACATAATCAGTTTCCCTATTTATTAACAGTTCTTCTGAAGGTTTATTTTTTTTTAAATTTTTTTTTAATTTTTATTTATTTATGATAGAGAGAGAGAGAGAGAGAGGCAGAGACACAGGCAGAGGGAGAAGCAGGCTCCATGCACCGGGAGCCCGATGTGGGATTCGATCCTGGGTCTCCAGGATCGCGCCCTGGGCCAAAGGCAGGCGCCAAACCGCTGCGCCCCCCAGGGATCCCTCTTCTGAAGGTTTAATGTTTAAACTTTGGCTAGAAGGCATGGAGCTGGCTGGTTCTTTAATTTCATTATATCCCACCTTTCCCTTTCTCATAAATACAGCGGATAAGTGACTCTAATATCTTTCTTCTCAGATGAATTAAATTGTGACTTTGTTAAACTGTAATAGGCTTGCCTAATTCATTAAATACCGCCTTCTTGGAAATGACTTCCTTCCCCTCACTCCCTCCTGTGGAAACTCTTGTAATCACCATTAAGAGAAAATAAGTTATAACTTAAAAAATAGTCTTGTTCAGGGCACCTGACTGGCTCAGTCAGAAGAGAATGCAACTCTTGATCTTGGGTCTTAAGTTTGAGCTCCACATTGGATATAGAGATTACTTAAATAAATAAAATTTAAAAAATAATTCCTGCTCAGCAGACAGTTGAGATCTGTGCAGTTTGCTACATTGTATGATTTGGACAAATTTTATCAATAATTTTTTTTTTAAATTAAGCTCTAGGCCTAACGTGGGGCTTGAACTCACAACCCTGAAGAGCCAGCCAGGTGCCCCATTGAAAAAATATTTTTGATCTTATCTACAAAGTTACAATTTATATTTATGTACACTATAAATAACACAAATAGTCATATATTAATATATAATAATTATAAATAGTTGTATATATTATATATGAATAAAGATCTAAAACTCCTTTTTTTCCCCACATGAGTTTCTACAGTAGACAGAATTGATGCTATTGTGCTAAAAATGATCTCTTTTTTGTAGAAAACCATGATTTGAACAAAAGTTTCTATTAAATGGTTATTGAACTGCTAAGGTTGACACTGAAGAGCTAGGTCACTGACAGAGCTAATAAAGCTATGCTTTTCTTCCTTTTTTAAAAAGTCAGATTATTTTCATATTCTTTGTTTTAATAGGCAGCCACTACATGTTAGTATTTATCCATGTTTAAAATTTATGTTTAAAGTTGAAAGTCTAAAAAAAAGAGTTGAAAATCTTCAGTGGGAAAACATTAATTTTGCTTTCCTCAGAGAGAAGTTCTATAGATATTCGTAAGTTAATTGTTTTTAAAATTAGCAGGTCTCATTTCTAATTAAGAGTCAGAAAATTACATACAGTTTTGATTTTTTATAGCAAGCATTAGAGAAGAGCTTGCTAAATAAAAACTTTTTTGTTTGATTTGCAATTCAATCAAAAAAATACATAATTTTAAAATATATCTTAATGTCTTCTAGAAGTACTAACAAAACTAGAGAAGAGAAATAGTTTGCAAATTGATTCTCTAAATAGTTAACAGGAATTTGGAGTTCATCGTCAGCATTTGGGTTTTATCTCCCTCCATAGCTTACTATTTGTGTGATGTTGGGCGAATTACTTAACCTTTCAAAGTGTCTTTAAAATAGGAGAGGATGATAATAATGGTACCTGCTTCATTGGAGTTGTTAGTAGCTAAGTAGTTGATAGTAGATAACAGCATAGGTATGTAGCAAAGTGCCTTTCAGAGATAGTAAGCAGTGAAATGTTAGTTGATTGTTTTTAGTACTTGTATCATCTTTGAAGAATGACCTAGCCTTTTTTTTTTTTACCTTGGTAATAGAATATATTAGTGTGAAAAATTATGTAGTTCTAAGTTTAATTTGGAAAGAAAAGTCAAATAAATATGTTCCCTTAATAAAGAAAAATTCCTTTTCCTTTGAACATGGTGGGTTTTAAAAAAATTTTTGTAGTTGGAAAAAAAAATTTTGTAGTTGGACTAAAGTAATGAAACCAGATATTCCTGGCCTGTGTTTGTATACATAATTATAGAAAATGGGAAGCTTTTTAAAGACTGAAGGACTAGCGATCTGTGCTTTAAGGAAACTTTTTATGTGCTGATTTTGATAGTAAAATCTATAACATTTACATGCTATTAAACTTCCAGAAATACACAGTTTAGTCTCTTTGAAATTACGTGATATAATTTATTTTCATTCCGAACATTTTTTAGCTTTATGATCTAATCTGTAAACTCTTGATTATATTTGCAAAATTGTGTGTCTGCCTAGCACTGGAACACACCAGGCATATTCCTACCCTCATAGTCTTTGTATTTTTTGCTTTCTTTGCCTAGATCCCTTTCATCCTGATTGTGGCCCATCCTTGGGCCCTCGGGTTAATCACGGTTCTACAAAAGGGTCACCTACTTTTGTTAGATGTTCTCTCCTTTATCTAAAATGTCACTCTCCATCCTAATGCATTTTTTCCTCACTACCAGGTATTATATTACATAGTCTTGTTTGCTTATTTTTAGATACTTTCCCATAAGAATAAGAGCTGAGGGCAGGAACTTAGTTTTGTTTACTGCTGATTCCCACTGTGTATAATATAATACAGGGTCTGGCATTAATAAATATTTGTTAAGTGAATGAATCAATGAGATTGATGAATTAAGATATAATTTATAGATAGGGATAATCCATGAGCCAGTTTTTAATATTTTCTTTTTTTTTAAGATTTTATTTATTCATTCATAAGAGACAGAGAGAGAGAAACAGACAGACAGACAGGCAGGCAGAGGGAGAAGTGGGCTCCATGCAGGGAGCCCAACTCCAGGATTACGCCCTGGGCTGAAGGCAGCGCTAAACCGCTGAGCCATCCAGGCTGCGTCAGTTTTTAATATTTTTTTTTTTTAGTTTTTAATATTTTCTATGAGATATTTATCTTTATGAAAAAAATGAACCATTTAAAAGTTGAGATTTATTATCTGCTGCCTGCCCTGCCCCCCCTCCCCCACCAAAACCCAGCAGGAGTCCAGGTTTAGAGTATTTTGTACATAGTATGTGCTGTCAATCAAGAGGCCTAATTGAGAACACCGGCTCAATTTATAATAGCAAAAAGACTGCATAGTCATTTAATTGCTCTTGGTTTATTCCCTTATATTGTTTCTTTTCTAGAATCTATCTCAGTGCCTGGTACACAGTTAAGGTAGCCAATAATATATTTTTTGGGTGAGTGAATTAACTTGTAAAATGAGTAATACCATGCACTGGGTCCTAGTTTCTCAAAGTGTCTTAAAGACCCTAGGATAAGACCTTCTGGAATAAAACGGATCAAAGAAATTTGTGAAATACTATTCATTGATTCTCAAAGTATGCCTCAGAATCACCTGCATGGCTTATAAATACAGTCTTTTAGGTTTACCCTGCCCACCTCCATATTTGAAGTAGGGTAGTGAATTTCTAACAAGTTCTGAAAAGGTAGGGAGAGATAATTTTGGTTATGTGAGACCGCACTTTGACAACCCCTGTTGTATCTGTATTCCATTTGAGGTTATTCACACTGACCTGTTGAAGGTTTACGGAAGCACTACCTAAGTAGAGGAAGCTGTTTAGCTCTTAACTCAGTATTTCTAAAACTTATTTGAATTTGGTACCCATTCTGTGTGTGTGTGTGTGTGTGTGTGTGTGATCTGCCAATCGCATTATACTCAGTGTCTTTGAACATCCTTGGAACTATTGTTCTGTGGTTCATACTTTCAGAAACAAAGCCAGGTCACATCTGCAGTGTTTCTCACATATGAGATGAGGATTCCTCCCTCCCTCCCTCCTTCCCTCCCTCCCTCCCTCCCTCCCTCCCTCCCTCCCTCCCTCCCTTCCTTCCTTCCTTCCTTCCTTTTTTCTTTCTTTTTTCTTTTCTCTTTTTTTCTGCATGCTAGGGTAGGTTAAAACTTAATTGTATTAGGAGTGAAATTGTGTTAGGGCTGAAACCCTTAGAATTGAATCCTGTTGCCTGGATGAAATCTAATATGATATTCATGATCTGCATGGAAACATTATATGCGTTTTTGATTTTTGCTGATCTACATTGGGTTCAATGTAAGGATGTATATAGCAAGTTTCTTAGTTTCATGAAAATTGAGCCCAAAATGATGAAATGATTTCTTTCTCAGTACCTTTTATATCTTGTATTTATATTTCTCTTTCTAGGTAGCTTTTTTTTTTTTTTAATTTGCCAAACACATTTTTGTAACTTCAGAGCATGGCAAAATTAGGAAGTAATACTTTATCATGAGAATAGTTTTCTCTAGATAAAGTCAAATCTCAGCTAGTGTTCTTTTTCTCTAGTTGAATTTTGAAATTTGCTAATTTTATCTCCCAGTGTAGCATTTATTTTGCATGTCGGATTTTGTTGACTTCACTTCATATTTTAAATATGGTTGTACTTGTTCTGGGTCTTCTTAGAGTAATGGATATAATAAAAGATTTGAGTAATTATTAGGGGATATTTGAGGAAGAAGTGATGGTTACAAACTCTTCAGATATTAAATGTAGCAGAATCTTCAAACTTGAACTTAATGGAGTGCTTTATATTCTCCAAGGCTGTGGATCTTTCCATTGATGAATCCAGCTTGACAGGAGAGACAACACCTTGTTCTAAGGTGACTGCTCCTCAGCCAGCTGCAACTAATGGAGATCTTGCATCAAGAAGTAACATTGCTTTCATGGGAACACTGGTCAGATGTGGCAAAGCAAAGGTAATTTTTTCCTCTTGTTTTGAAAGTAGTAGTTCCTTTGTTTTCAACCTTTTTTTTTTTTAGTTCTATTTTGCTAATTTTATGTGGTTCTTTTAAAATTATATGACAAAGAAATGACAGAATTGAACCTAACTTGTAGCAACTGTGTGTGAGACTAAGAAGCTATGTCCCTGAGGCATAATATTCCATAGTTCTGCCATTTGCCAGATAATGGAGCCTTTATTTTTTTATTTTATTTTTTAAAAGATTTTATTTATTCATGAGAGACACACACAGAGAGAGGCAGAGACACAGGCAGAGGGAGAAGCAGGCTCCATGCAGGGAGCCTGACATGGGACTTGATCCTGGGTATCCAGGATCAGGCCCTGGGCTAAAGGTGGTGCTAAACTGCTGAGCCACCGGGCTGCCCGATAATGGAGCCTTTAAAAACATAGTCCTCAGTAGCCATTCTTTTTTTCATTTATTTTAAATAGAAACAGCAGTACATGGGTATGTTCATTTCTAGCTAAATAAAATTTTAATTTAATTGATAATGGTACTGGCTGTAATATTCTGTCTACATATCATTCACTTAATGATGGATTTTTAGCTATTCTTTTTTCCTGGATTCACAAATATAAAAGATATGATTCAGTAGCATTTGAAGGGAAAAATAAACTACATTAAAAGTCTCTCTTGAGTATAAGACAGTTTTGAATTTCAGAAATATTAATATAGACAAAGAATGAGCCTCAGAGGGACACCTGGGTGGCGCAGCAGTTGAGCATCTGCCGTTGGCTCAGGGCGTGATCCCAGGGTCTGGGGATCGAGTCCTGCTTTGGGATCCCTGTGAGAAGCCTGCTTACCCCTCTGCCTGTGTCTCTCATGAATAAATAAATAAAAAATCTTTAATAAAAAGAAAAGAAGAATGAGTCTCAGAATTGGGTGAAGGCTTCTATGGTGAGGCATAAATACTAGTGATCTGTAGTACTATCACAAGTTAATTTGCTAAGGGAACCTTGGATATGTGTGTTAGTCATCTTGACCGTGGACAAGGTTTTGGAGAAAGAGTTTTTGGTTTTACTCAAGAGAGGTGATTCCATCCGAAAGTAAATGTTGTTCTCCTGTTTTTTCTTTTAGGGTATTGTCATTGGAACAGGAGAAAATTCTGAATTTGGAGAGGTTTTTAAGATGATGCAAGCAGAAGAAGTAAGTACTTAGTTGTGTTAATGATATTTTAATTTCAAATCTAAAATTCTCCATTGTAAGTAGAGGGACAGAAAATATTGGTGGATTATTTTATGTACTGTTGAAAGTAGTATTTTATTTGGAATATCACTCAGTTGTCTGTGTTTAGAAACGTAATTAGAAAGACTGTATTTGAAAGGGCTTGAGTTGACATTGCTAATATGCTAAAACATTTTGATGTTCATTGTTTATAGGAGAAAAAGGTTTATAGCCAATTATTTATAGGGCCTATTCTTTTTAAAAATTAGCTTTATCATATTAATTTTAAAAATTATTAAATAGTATATTTGTCTTGTTCAAATTCCCAACTTTATATAATTCCAAGTAATGGGGAAAAAATTGTAAAGTAAAATAACCTGGAAGATATTCTTGTTTAAGGATATTACAGATTAGTTCTCTCATTGAAAGTACTTCCTTATGTATATAAAAAGAAGTTGCATTCTACAAATGTCATATTCTCTCCAAATCATCTGGATTTCTCAGGTAACCTGCCAAGATTCCACTGTGTGATGCAGTGTGTAAAGCCATTCCCAGAAGCTTGGCAGTGACGGAGTGCTAGAGAAGGGAGTTAGCAGTAGCAGATCAGGGAGCCAACTGGAGGAAAAGACTTGGATTGTAAGCTTGTTTGTGGATACAGAAAGGAGAAGATTGGAAAAGTGAGGGGGCAATTGATGGTAATAAAGTCCTGGAGAAGCTGATCAGGAGAATAGGCTTCTTCTCAAAAATAGGCATGAGGAGCATGATGGACCTTTTCAAATAAACAAGCTTTTAAAAGTCTCAGCCTTAGTTTCCTTATAAAAGGAGTAATACTTACCAAGAGAGAGTTATGTACATCATGGGTATATTAAGAATGAGCATGAAAAAAAAAAAAGAACGAGCATGAATATGTCAAGCACTTAGCGGAGTCCCTGGCACCTAGTGTATTTCACTAAATTTAGATCATTGCACTCTTCTCCAATTTGTCAAGGCACCAAAAACCCCTCTGCAGAAGAGCATGGACCTTCTAGGAAAACAGCTTTCCTTTTACTCCTTTGGTATAATAGGTAAGAGAAGAGTGAGTATGTATATCTCATCTATTTACTTATTTACTTAGGTTTTTAAAATTGTTTAATTTTTTGAGTGGGAAGGGGGAGTGTTTAGCTAGATGCATACATTTATTCATTTAATGAATTTTTAGATTGCTACTACTTTTTAAAAATTATAAAACTAGTTCCCAACTATTGTCCTTTTCTACAAAGATAAGTTAGAACTCTCTGTAATTATTATAATCAATGAGCATTTCTGTAAACATTTTAGTATTTGTCTTTCTCGTTTTCAACAAAATGGATAGTATGATTCTTAAACTACTTTTCCTTTTCTGTTTCACATTTTCTTCATAAGCACCTTGTCATTAAATAGATGCTCATTGAATTGATGTCATGAAATAGGTGGTTGTATAGTATTCCATTATGTAGGAAAAAATATCTTAGAACTCTTGTAGACATTTCTGTTTTTTGAGTTTTTAAAATTATATAAATGATTCTTCAGTGCAGGTATCTTATTAAATTCTTAAAAGTAAAATTATTGGATCAGTGGTTATCCATGCAAGTTTTAGATTTTTGACATGTTTGGCATGTTTTTAAAGTTTTTGTTTCATATTGCCAAATAATATCTTTCATCAGCAAGTCAGTTATTTCTCTTCCAGCACCCTTGCCCGCTTTGTTGTCATGAACAGATGAATAAAAGACTTCTCATTATTTTATTTCATAATTCATTATAGAGAAACTGAGCACTTTTGTCATTGTGTGTGTGGGTCCTTTTTATTTTATGACTTGCAATCTGTTTATCTTATCCCTTCCTTTGTGGCTTGAGTCTTAGGTTGGTAACAGCTCTTCATATAATTAGGATATCCATCCTTTTGTTAAATATTTTCCTTCCAAATTTTAAATTCCCTTAAGGGATAAATAAAATAAACTTAGTACAGGAAAGAGTTGTAATTGAAACATCTTTGTGTCCTGAGATTCTGATATAACTGTACTATTAACAATATCTGCAATTATAGTTTGTCTTTGTAATCTTCGTAAAAGCTGTCCCAACTCCATGTTGTGGAAAGTGTTTATGTTTATATCTATTTAAACATCAATCTACTACTTTAGTTTTTATCTTTGACACTTAATTTTACTATTTAGAATTTATTTTATTATAAGACTTAAGGTAGAGTTCATAACATTTTTACTCAAAACTTAATTATCCCAATACCATTAATTCTATAGTCTATTCTATATTCACTAGGTTGAAATGACATCTTTATCATACATTAAACACTTGAATCAGTTTTGGAGTCCTTGCTCCTTTAATTTTTCCATGCTATTATTTTAATTATTCTTGTTAGCCTAATGTTTCAAAATCAGTAATACAGCTTTAAGTTAAAGCAGACTTGTTATGCAGTTTCAACTAAATTGTTTAAATATTAATTCTGTTGATCCATCTGTCTTCATCATAAAGTAGAAGGTAGAAAAGTATTTCATTCCTCATTTTTAACTAGTGTGTATATATTCTCAAATTCCCTTAATTTATTGCTGTTTATTTTCCAGAATTTATAGGGAATTTGATAAATCTAAGGGCATGTAGCCAATTAAATCTCCCCAGTTATACTAATGCTGTACTGTGAAACTATCTCACATTTAATGATAGAAATCTTTCAACTTTATGATTACCTGGTTTGAATATAATTCAATGGGCATAATTTTTTTTTGTTGTGATAGAGGATAAAGGTCAAGATCAAAATGAAAGGTCTGCAGACTTTTTTTTTTTTTTTTTTAGCCTTTGGTCCATACCAAAGTATTTTCAACATTCTCTGATGGAAATACTCAACTCTGCCATCAGCAGGAAAGCAATCGTAGAAAATACATAAACAAATGGATGTGGCTATGTTCCAGCAACCTTTGTTTATAAAAGCATGAAGGAAGCCCACAGATTATAGCTTCCCTGGTGTAGTTCATTGGACATAATTTCTCAAGAAAGTATTGGAAATAGGATCTTAAAGAGTCACAATCTAGATTATGATTTTGTAGTTGTAGAAAGATGAAAAAAAAACTTATTTAAATGTTTATATTGACCTAGAATACAATCTTGATGCTGTGTTTTTTTCTCACAAAACCAGTGGTACACTCTGTGCCCCCTTTATTTCAGAGAGAAAGATTAAAGCAGAGAGTATTTTGTTTGGTTTATGTTAATTGATTTTATTTTTACATGCCATAAAAGTAGTAATTTTTAAATGTTAATGGAATTTTAGGTATTTTAAGTAAGCTATATCACTCTGAGCCAAGTCCTAAGTATTCTTTTGTTTGCAGTACAAACTTTATATGTACTGCTTGGATATTTAGTTATGAGAAGTAAAGTTCCAGGGTTTATTTTTGCAAAGCTGATAATAAATAGAAGACCTCTGTGTCTTACTCTACCCCCCCCCCCCCCCCGTTGTATGAAAATACTGGTATTATTTTCTTATAGTGGGAATCCTCAGATACTGCTTTAAGGGAGGGTGGCAGGAATGGCAATAGAAGGTATAACTCTGTGTGTGTATGTGTGTGTTATGTAGCATTAACTTTAAGCAGCATTAGTTTGATCACTCCTGCTTAATGGATTTTTGTAAAATCTTGTAATTGTGATCTGATGCACTTTATTTTTTTTTGTTTTTTTTTTTGTTTTATTTATTTTTTCTTTTTTCTTTTTTTTTTTTTTTTTTTCTGATGCACTTTATGTCAAGGGACTTCTTTGGCTGTGTCCTCAGCTTGTTATTCTATCCCATCTATACTTATGTGATTATAGATACAAGGGAAAAATAGCTATTTGATTCTGTTCCAGGTATCATCATGTTGGTTGGCTGGTTACTAGGAAAAGATATCCTGGAAATGTTTACTATTAGTGTAAGGTGAGTTCTGATCATTTGTTTATAAATTGAAATCTCTTTTCCCTCTATAATTTCTCTGAGAGGCATAGGTTATGTTCCATTATGGAAGTATTATACGAGCATAAAAGAGTAGTGTCTCTAATTAAATACTTCAGAATTCATATATTGAAATGAATTCTAGGAAAATGAAAACCTACATATATAGCAGTGAATAAAACCTGTACAGGATGTCTGGTGTTATCCGTCCAATATTGCATTTTTATATATAAATAGACAGTTAAGGATTGTGTAACTGAAAACTAGCAGCATGAAAGAGAAAGACCATAATAATAGAAATTGAATAGTCAATCTCAGAGGAAAACAGAAGATTCAAGAACTAGCAGAAAAATGAAAACTAGAAAGCATTTGTGATACACATGCATTCACGATATACAGATTATTGCAGAAGAGAGAACAAAAAGTTTTTAGAAATTGTGATTTTTATTGCTGAAATTGAAAATAGAATTTAAGGGCTATAATATAAAGCCAAAGAGGACTCCACAAAAATAGAGCAAAATGTCTAAAACAGAATGAAGAGAATAATTTAATAAATACCATATCTAACCGATAGGAGTTTTAAAAGAGGTAAGAAGAAATTATATAAGAAATGATACATAAATATTTTTCAATCAGAAACAAAACATGAAATTTTTATAGTTTGTATGGATTGTGTAAATGCCCAGCAGGATGGAAAAACTCCCAACCTAGGTGCATCATTATTAAATTAAACAAGTTAGGTCTTCTATAAAGGAAAGATAATTAGACTGGTATCAAACTTCTCATCAGCAGCTGCAGTTTCCACCATAGGATCTTTTTAGACTACTAAACTCACAAGACTTTCATAGGTCACAATTGGTACCAGTGCCCTGAACAGCGGGGCGACTTAAGGCAGCACTCTTCTGAGAGAGTCTGTGCAGCAGTTCAGCTTCAGGTACAAGAGATTGGGATGACCTTATGTGTGGGCGAGCTACCCTAGGTTAAAATGTTTCATTGTCCGTGGGAGTCAACATCTCTGGAAACATATACTTTCCAGGGTGCTTGCAAGAAACATGTCCAGTTATAAGAGTCACCTACACTCAGGAAATCCAAAGTGATGGCTTCCTGTAAAATAATTAGAATTCTTAACATTCCATAGACAGTCAATCAGGAGATCCCTTTATCATAAGTAGTGTTGCCTAGCAACATAGTTGATATAACTACCCTCACCAGGTCACTAGGGGAAAAGAGCTAGGGATTTAATCAAATGCAGAAGGGAAAAGGATTTTATTAACCCTTCCTCCACAGTAACATTGGATTACATTAGAGAACAGCAGGGCAGTGCTATCAAAGTATGAGGGGAAGGGATTTTAAGTCTAAATCTAGACAGAGACAAGGTATCAATCCAGGTAGTTAAAAACAGATAGGCAAGTAATCAGAAAATTTATTCCTTCTCTGTCCTGTATGAATTCTAGCAAAACAAAGATGATAAAAGGAAAATGGTGATGGATGGGATATAAGTACGAGTGAAACTTACCTAGGCATCTAGGGAAAAGAAATCCTGGATGACAGCTGTATTGTAGGACTAGAAAGTAATAGTTCAAATATTAGAACAAAAACATGAATTAAAAAAAATCAAATGTATTATAAGGACTTGGCAGGTTGAATAAGGATAAAACATATTTGTGATAGGATGAAGCAGTGCATCTTTTCCCCTAAAGGGGCAAACATACAATTTAAAACTCTTGGCTTCAGTCTTGGGTTGAATACGAAATAAATTTAAAATGGGGTATGAGTTTTTGATATTAAACATGAGCATATTATCTATTAGACTCATTTTTAGATTTTTAGTATTTTTGGGGAGGCAGTTCTGTTTGTGAAGGTTGACATATCATGGTTTTTATTCCTACTTCAAGGTCTTACAAAGGACAAAGCATTAAACATTTTTTTTAATAGAATAAAACTCATTCTACTTTGCAATTATGGATCCATTATCCTTTCGTAAATCTAAGTAAGATATATTATGGGATCTTTAGTTACCTTATTTTTCCTGTGTCTTGAAACATTTTGTTATTTCATTATCCTAGTAATTATTTTAATAATTATTTCCACCTGTCCTAAAAATGAGTAAAACAATAAGAATGCAGAATGATGACATCACTTATAAGGTTGATATAATAGCATTATTCCGTTATCCTTTAATTTTTTTATTATGTTGCTCAGTATTACATCATCATTTACAAGTATAAAAGGGGTCTGGAGATACAGTCATTATAGTTGCCTTTTTTTCTTTCCTATTCATTAAAGTTAGGAATCATAATTTTTTCACTTTTCACCATAATGGCAAAGAATAATTGATAGAAGAATTACTGGGTGAACCAAAAGAAGAAAGCAAAGAGACAAAGAGCCACCGTACACTCTAATGATGAGGGTGAAATTTAATCAAATAAATGAAATCTTAATGCTATGAATCTTTGGTTAGCAGTCTAGGTTTTCTGAAATTCCTGAACTCATGAATGAGTAGTTTATTTCTAAGGACAAAAAAGGAAGGACAGGTATTCCCTTTCAGTTAGTCGTTCTACAGCAAGGAATTCATCATGCAGTGTTTTCCAACAAAGACCACCCTTTTTGTTAAAAGGATGTGTATGGCAGTTTTCTTTAATGTTTTATAATATTTGTTTGCCAACTTTTTACTTTATACCATTTATAAGTAGAGAAATACCAAAGGCTGGTATGAACATAAAAGTGATTAAAAGGAAATAGATGACAGAAATGAAAAGCTTAATTGGACTTACGTTATTGGTATTTAAACTATGTTACTAAGACAATAACTGTTCTCTTTTCAACAGAATTATGAACCATCCACATTTTCAAAAGTTGTTGCATTTTGAAGACACAAATGCAAAAAGTGAAACCAGAATTGATAAGCCTATAACCTGTTGGAAATATTTTTTGAATTTGAAATTACTTTTTGTAAAGTGAATATATTCCAGGCTGTGTTTAGTTGCATCCAAAGGACATTGCTCATTTCAGATATACCTTCAAATCCAGGAATATAGTTTGAAGTTAAAATTCAAAGTTAGTTAATTCATTCATTCATTCATTCGTGAGAGACCCACAGAGAGAGGCAAAGACCTAGGCAGAAGGAGAAGCAGACTCCATGCATGAAGCCCTATGTGGGACTCGATCCTAGGACTCTGGGATTACGCCCTGAGCCAAAGGCAGACACTCAACCGCTGAACCACCCAGGCATCCCTAAAATTCAAAATTTCAAATGAAGTTTTTCACAATCCATTTTATTCCTCTGCAAATTGTTCATGAAGTGACTTAAAAACAAAAGAATGGAATGGTCCATTAGATCTAGATTGTAAATGATGATGCCTATTTTTCCTGATATAGTGAGGGTTAATGTAAGCATAAGAAAAGAGGATTCTGTTTCAGCATAGAATAGTTGAAAAGAGAGAAGGAAGTATTAATGGTAACACATATTTCTTTGGAGCCCAATATGGGGCTTGAACTCATGACCGAGATTGAGACCTGATCTGAGATCAAGAGTCAGACACTTAACTGATGGAGTCACCCAGGTGCCCTGATAAACATGTATTTTTTGACTCTTTCAGTGTACACTATTTGGACAATGGTATTATGTCATCCATTGGCTTTCAGATTTTAGAATTAACCTGTAAACAGCGTGAAAAACTTAAAAATGCTTATGGAACAGGATGCTAATGATATCAAGTTAGATGATGCTAAAGAAAAAATAGATAATAGAGGTTGATGAGTAAAAGCAGTGGATGCAGCAACATTAGAATGAAGAACAAGAATACATATGTCCTTAACTGTAGGAGAGTTGGAGCTAATATTTGTAATGGGATAAAAAATACTTAATTTGACTTTTTAAAAAATTGCAGAGGGAAACAATGAAGTAATTAATCTTTTGTTAGAAAATACACATACCACGAAATTTACCATTTAAAAATGTGCAATTCAATGGAATTAAGTCCATTCATAATGTACAACCACAACCACTATCAAGTGTCAGTACTTTTCATCCCCCCAAAAGAAAACCCTGTGCCCATTGGGCAATCACTCACCATTCTTTCTTCTCCCCAGCCCTTGGCAACCACTAACCTGCTTTCTGTCTCTATGGATTTGTTTTATTGTTAATATTTCATATAAATGGAATAAAAAATATGTGTCTTTGTGTCTGGCTTCTTTCAGTTAGCATAATGTTTTCAGGGCTCATTCATGTTTTGCATGTATCAGTACTTCATTTCTTTTTATGGCAGAATAATACTTCATTGTATAGGTATGCCACAATTTCCCATTTATCAGTTGATGGACATTACTGTGATCTTTTGGCCATTGTAAGTAGTGCTGCTATGAGTAGTCATGTATAAGTTTTTGTTTGAATATCTGTCACTGCTATCTGCACTTCTAGATAAGAAAATTAAACTACAGGAGTGGAGTAATAATTGCGCAGTCAAAGAGGTAAAATTTGGTGAAGCCTTGGCTATAAATCTAGGCAATCTGATGTCACAAACGTACATTCTTCAACCACTACACTTAACCTGGCAGCTAGTAGGTATCCCATAAATGTTAATTAGCTTTCCCTTCCTCTTAATTTTTATTTAAGTATTTTTTATTACAGTATTAACTTTGTATTTTTATTAGCCTCTGTTTTAAGTAAAAGCTAATTGAAATTATTGCTGTAGGTACTATTTAATTTATACTTCAATACTAAGTATATATTGATTACAGTTTGGCTGTGGCAGCAATTCCTGAAGGTCTTCCCATTGTGGTCACAGTGACTCTAGCCCTTGGTGTTATGAGAATGGTGAAGAAAAGGGCCATTGTGAAAAAACTGCCTATTGTTGAAACTCTGGGTAAGTATGTGGTAATAGAAGCATACTTAAGCAATAGTGTGCTAGTTTACATCAACAGTGAATCATCAGGTTGCAACAGTTTTTTTGTCTGAGAGGCTAATATAGTGATATTTGACTTGTGGCAACGTTAAGTATGGTTTTCATGACCAGAAAAGGTAATTAAAAATGTGTATCATTCAAGACTGGGGACTTTCAGAGAAATCTGTGTCATGGAATGTTCTAATGCTTAAATTATGTAAAAAAGAAATCCATATAACAAATGAAACCTTGGAATAAAATTAATAGAATCTTTTTCTTTTGACATCTCAAGATAATTATCATAGATCCTAGAAATCACACTCCAGCTGAATTTGCTGATAAGAACAGTAAATACACAACAGTTGCTAAATGTTGCTATAACAAAACTTTATGCTGTGAAATTTCTTTTTTTTTTAATTTAGGAATCCACAAATACTGAATTTCATTTTTTAGTTTGCATTATACTATTGAGAAGGCAAAATACTTTAAAATACTGAATGAAAATTTATATGGGTTTATATTTAAGTACCCTTAACACTTTAGAAAATGTATTATGTAACATTATAATATAAAGCTAATACTGAGAAGCTTTGTAGAAATTCACCTGCAAGTTAATAAGGAAAAGTCAGCATTTATCACTATTTTTTAATTTTAATTTCAGAACTTAATGGTGAAAAGCACAATGAGAGAAAATAAAATTATCAGTGAGCCTAATTTGTGTAAAATTCAGAGAAGTAGGACAGGCTTCCAGTGTTTTTAATATAAACTTGTTTATTTCTTCCTGACTCTTGATGACATGTAATGATTTATTCTATAGGCTGCTGTAATGTGATTTGTTCAGATAAAACTGGAACACTGACAAAGAATGAAATGACTGTTACTCACATATTTACTTCGGATGGTCTGCATGCTGAGGTACTCTATAGATTTTTTCCTTTTTTAACAACTGTATTTCTTTGTTAAGAAACGTGGTGTTTAGATATTCCTAACCATTCTAGTGTCTTATCTTCAAAAGGGCTATAAATTCATCACCAGCAGAGCCTTTTCCTTGTGCTACTGGTCTTGATCCCACTTCACTTGTACACTCCATTTGTACCGTCCAGAAACTTTGAATCATCCTTGGCACCTGTCTTTTAATCACTCCTACAGCCGTTTGTTACCAAACTTTTATTTTTGTTGCCTGTGCAGCTTGAGGGGTCTTTTAGAACCAAATATTAGCAAGTCACTCCCAAAACTAAGATGTTTTAGTGGCTTTCCATTGTGACCAGGATCCTGACGTATGGCCTCTCAAGGCCCTTACATATTTTGTTCCTTATTTCTTTCTTTATCCTTATATATTCTACTTTGCTTTCTGGGCACCAGATACACAGATTTATGGTTCTTTCAGTGTAGCAAAATTCCTCCTATTTCAGGACTTTTGCTGCTATTCTCACTGTGTATAGGACAGTCTATTACCTCATCCTTTGCAACTTAGTTCCAACCCGACTTTTTCTTTCTTTCTTTAAATTTAATTAACATGTAGTATATTATTAGTTTCAGAGGTGGAGTTCACTGATTCATCAGTCTTATATAACACCCAGTGCTCATTACATCTTGTGCTCTTAGTCCATCATCTTCCCACATCTCTCCCCTGCAGCAACTCTTACCTATGATTAAGAGTCTCTTATGTTTTGTCTCCGTCTTTCATTTTGTCTTGTTTTATTTTTCCATTCCTTCCCCTATGCTCTTCTGTTTTGTTTCTTAAGTTCCATATAGGAGCGAAATCTTATGATAATTATCTTTCTCTGACTTATTTCGCTTAGCATGGTGCCCTCTAGTTCCATTCATGTCCTTGCAAATGGCAGGATTTCCTTTCATTTTAATGCCTGAGTAATATTCCATTGTATATATACAATGGATATATATATATACACACACATATATGCAGTTTAGCGACAGATGTTCATCTGTCGATGGACATCTGGGCTCTTTCCATAGTTTGGCTATTATGGTTATTGCTGTGATAAACATTCAACCCCACTTCTTTAAAAAAGCTTTGCTGGCTGCCCAGAACTGGCCTTAGATATTGTTTTCATAGAACTTGATGCCTCTTGGTTTTTAGCCCAGGTAAAATTTTCTGTTCCTCTTTATACTATTAAAGTTGTAATAGAGCAGAACTAAGTTGCCCAACACAGGGTCTTCCTCATAGTAGTAAATACTTGTGGGAGGAGTAAATTAATAGATGAATTACTTCATTTTAAAAATAATATTTTGGCAGTTTCTTAAATACATGTCATTCTATGTGTATTGGTTAATTTTGAAGCTAGGTAAGGACAAGTTCTAGTCTAACCCCAGTCTTAACAGGCTTTCTAGCTAGTATGTTCGTTGACACTACTTAAGAAGGGTACCATATTTTAAATTGTATTTGCATCCAATTCACTGTATCATTAGACAAATTGACAGAAGTTGTACTTAAGTTTATTTAATTCCATTTTATGTAGGGTTTAAAATATTATTGATATTTAGAGTGTTAGATTTGGTTAAGGATACCCAATATGGTGTGTGTTGATGATTTAGAGTCATTGGGGTTTAACATGTGTTTGCATAGTTCAGGTATGGAAAGTAGGGTATAATAAATTTCTGTTTTGTTTTTTTTTAAGATTTTATTTATTTATTTATGAGAGACAGAGAGAGGCAGAGACACAGGCAGAGGGAGAAGCAGACTCCATGCAGGGAGCCCAACGTAGGACCCGATCCCTGGTCCCCAGGATCACAGCCCGGGGCTGAAGGTGGCACTAAACCTCTGAGCCACCCAGGCTGCCCAGTTTCTGTTGTTTTAACCCTGTACTTCCATATGTCAAGCATTAGCTGTTTGTTAATTTCTCTCTAAACTGTCTTATTTTTGCTGTGAAATTCAACTTTTGTTTGGCTTAGTTCTAGCCATATGGAATAAGTATCTGGCTTGTCTGTACCTCTGATTTTTAAAACTGGCATGTAATATACTATGTTAAAGTAGTTTCTAAGTGCTAGGATAAATCATGTAATGTCACTGAGCCTAGCCTGCATATTTGCCAAAAGAATTCTGCTTTTTTTCTGGGTCTCAGGTTTGTCACAAATGTTAGATATGGAAATGGAATTGAATTCTTGGAAAATTGAGTATGTTTATAGATGTAATGTTACATAAATTTAAAGCTCACTTATGTTTAGAGATTTTCATGGTTTACTCTTTTATAGTGTATTATAAGTAGAAACTATAAATTTATATTAATTGTATTAGCAGTATATTTCTACTTAAAATATGCTATACATTGTTATATTTATTATAATTTAATATATAATATATTAAATTAATATATTAAATATAATATAATTGTATTTATTATAATTAATTATTCATATAATTAACTATAGGTTTGTTATTACGGTGAAAATTAGAATCTAGATTTTATTTTTTTAGGGAGAGAGATAGCACGCACAAGCAGCAGGGGTGAAGGGCAGAGGGGAAAGGAGAGAATCCCAGGCAGGCTCTGTGCAGAGCTTGAAACCTGACTCAGGGCTCAGTGTCATGACACATGAGGTCATGACCTGAGCTGAAACCAAGAGTTGGACACTTACCCAACTGAACCACCCAGGCACCCTGGAATCTATATTCTTTTAACTATTAAAAGAATTATGTATTAAAAGCACATGTTCTTTTAGACATGTGCTTTTCTAGGTATATACATTAATAACATCAAGATGTATAAAATGAAATGACACAAGTCATCATCGTTTTTGGCTTTCATAAATATTATCACTGTCTCTATGGGTTGAATTATTGACCTCACTGTATGTTTCTTAGGTTACTGGTGTTGGCTACAATCCATTTGGGGAAGTGATTGTTGATGGTGATGTTGTTCATGGATTCTATAACCCAGCTGTTAGCAGAATTGTTGAGGTAAATACTTTATTCTCTAAGAAGGTTATTTTTCATAATGACTTAGAACACAGTGATGGGTTCATAGTCTCTGTATATTTCTCTTAGGCGGGTTGTGTATGCAATGATGCTGTAATTAGAAACAACACTCTAATGGGGAAGCCAACGGAAGGAGCCTTAATTGCTCTTGCAATGAAGGTATGTGTTTGATTTCTTTGACATATGAGACATCACTTTCACAAGAGAATGTGAGGTCATCAATTTCAGTATTACAGGTTTTTAGGTTTAGAATGAAGGAGACTCACAATATTTTATTGTTTTTATTGCCCAAAAATGGTTTGTGAACCATTTTTATTATTCTTGAAATACAGAGCTGATAAAAATAAAGCCTTTTCAACATAGCTTTATCTCTTACATTCAAGAAACAACCTAATGACCAGTGACTGGATTTCTTATGAGTGAATGTTCTTATAATATTTTCCGTAATATTTAGAGTTTTGTGTGGAAGGCTTTCTCAATGTGTGTAATGTTGAAGTGCTAACTTTAAAATGAGTGAAGACAGCATTCTTTAAGTATTTCCATGTGAAGATATTAAGGACATCATGAGAAATCAGCTTTTCTTTCTCTTGTCTTCCTATTTCCTTCATTATCAATTTCTTAAAAGGAGTATAGAATTAGAATGTGTTGGAGAGAGAGGGTGCTGTTTTCTGTGACCCTTTCATTTATCCCAATTGATGGCCTCTTCTAAGTCTTATATTTGATTAGATGAAAAACCTGAAGTCCACTCTGTCCTTCCCATAACAAAAATTAAAACTCTTACTTTTAAGAGCAGTCTTAGAAAATTTTGAGACTTGTGTGAAATAGGATATCTCTAAATGAAGTTGTTTGAATTGAGATTCAATACGGAAATGTAGGTTATTATATTAAAATTTAATAAAATAGGGATCCCTGTGGGCGCAGCGGTTTGGCGCCTGCCTTTGGCCCAGGGCGCGATCCTGGAGACCCGGGATCGAATCCCACGTCGGGCTCCCGGTGCATGGAGCCTGCTCCTCCCTCTGCCTGTGTCTCTGCCTCTCTCTCTCTCTGTGACTATCATAAATAAAAAAAAAAAAAAAAAAATTAATAAAATAAAATTGATAGTTTTAGAATATGTTTTGTTAGTAAAAAGTGCATTTCTTTATTGTTTTTTGTTAACTAAAATAGCATCAAATAGCTTTTTGAAAGATATTTAGAAGTTTAATGTGTTAACCAGTATTAACAGTGGTGTTATACATAACCTTATATTAACTTTTTTAAGAGGTAGAGAGTGTGAAAACTACCTGCTTATGATTGGGAACCTCACATTTTAGGTAGAGAGTTGACACTGTGACATGCTTGGAACAAATACAAGCTAGACCAATATAGAAGATAGTTAAGTCTTAAAAGTTGAACCACAAATAAGAACAAGGCAAATCCAGACTTGAGACTTTGGTTTTGAGGGATAGGCAAGATTTAGATGGGAGATAAGCTAGGGAAAGAGCAAGAATAAAAGCATGGAGGAATAAATAATCATAGATTACATGATAGTTTATATATTGGTTACTTGGATGAAAAAAAAAGTTTGAGGATTTTTTTTTTTAAAAGATTTTATTTATTTATTCATGAGAGAGAGAGAGAGGCAGAGACACAAGCAGAGGGAGAAGCAGGCTCCATGCAGGGAGCCCGATGCGGAACTCGATCCCGGGACTCCAGGATCACGCCCTGGGCCAAAGGCAGGTGCTAAACCATTGAGCCACCCAGGGATCCCTTTGAGGATTGTTAAATAGACTGCATGGTGAGTTTCTGAAGGGACCTTTGAAAGCCAGGAAGAAGAGTCTAAACATGTTTCAGTAGATAGCAAAGAGAACAAAAAGCAATAAGCTAGGTTTTTGAGTAGTTTAAAAAATATTTTTGACTATTTGGAGGAAAATGTAGAGGATATTGGGAAGAACAGCTACAGTACACTGGTAGTAGTCAGAATATCAAGTGGTAGGATGTAAGAGAGTAGGATAGTGGCAACAGGAAAAATAGATTTGAATCCCTAAGAAGTAAGGCATTGAATTTGAAGCTTCTGTTGATCATAAAAGTACACGCTCAGTGTTGGTTGGGTATTTTATTTATATGTATCCTGCTTCCTTCCAGAATTTGAGCCAGTAGAGATTTTAATCTAGACAGTGTTGAAGATTTGGTCTACATATAGTCCAGGTAGCATGTCTTACACTGTATCTACACACCCAGGCTTTCATCTTGATCATGTATGTTGCCGTTCAGAGAAATGTGGTATATATAGATGGAGCACTGCTATTCTATCACCATTATTTGAAAAATACTCCAGGTATCTCTAGCCATCCTAGCTGTACATTGTGATCCTTGTTCTTTGTTAAAGGAAAAAATAGTCACATGTTGGTGAGAATTAACTTTCTTTTTGTGCCATATAGATGGGTCTTGATGGACTTCAACAGGACTATGTCAGAAAAGCTGAATATCCTTTTAGCTCTGAGCAAAAATGGATGGCTGTTAAGTGTGTACATCGAACACAGCAGGTACCCTTCCATGTAAAGAGTACATACTAAATCTTGTTTAACATAGATGACTACTTTGTATTTATTATCCACCTTTAGGTTTAAATACTCATTGACGTAACAAAGTCCCATTGCTTTAAAGTATATATAATTTATAGTAACTTATCCTTGTTGTTCTCATGTTCTCTTTGAATTTATGCATAGAGACATCGAGTTTTGCTGTATGAGCAAACAGCTTAAAATGAGTTAGACCCAAGTCTCAGTGTCTTAGATCCTGAGACATCAGATTCGATATTTTTGTTGTTGATGACTGTGTATTAAAGGTTTCTGCCCTCTGGTGTCACTCTGTGTTCTCTCACTGTAGGAATGTCTTGTCTTCAGAACACAAAACCACATTATTTTGTGGGAAAGTGGTTACCAAATGTCTATAATTCATATTAGTTTATTCATCTTAAAAACTGGCAAAATGACAGGCACTGATATTTCCAGCTGCTACTTTGTTCCTGCGTACTTTAGAAATTTTTACAAAGTTAGTGTAATAAGAATTCTTAGTTATCGGCAGTGTATAATTATGTCACTCATAATTGCTGTTAATAGTGTGATGCCTAAACTTACTCTGCCTTTAAAGTATTTGTTATTTTTATATTTTTATATTTTCTTTATTAGGAATTAATTGGTTATGTATTTTCACCTGTGAGCAAATAGTTTGAAACCATTATGTCTCTATAGACAGGAATGAGTGAGATTTCCCCTTCACCCATAATAAGTAGGAAATATAATTGATTTTAAAAGAAAGGTCAATTTGGCCAACATTGAACTTTAGGTAGATGTCTGCCAGGAACTCTGTCCATGAGGGTTAAAAATACTTCTATCTAAGCTTTAAAGGAACTTTTATGAATCCCTGGGAAGGGAGACAAGTGAAAATAAAACTGTAAAAATAAAATACCTTTAAACCTTGTAACATAAGGGGTGCCTGGCTGTCACAGTTGGAGCATGTGACTCTTGACCTCACAGTTGTGAGTTCAAGTCTCACATTGGGCTTGGAGCCTACTTAAACCTAGCAACATTAGCTTTCAAAAATTGCATTAGAGTTAGATAATTTTCAGCTAATGTCCCTTGACATAGAGTTAATACACCTGTAATATGTATTTGAGTTTATTTGAAAGGTCAGTTTCTTTACGTTTTATGTATGATCACACAGTACTTCAGGGTAATGTAGCTCATATAAAGTTTAATGATTTGACTTCAGCAATTTTGAATCTAACTTCACCAAAGTCGTACTCTGGAAGTTATACTCTGATGTTACAGTTTGACTGATCTTCTCAGTTGTGGGAGTGGGAGATAGGTAGCTGCAGGATATAAGTTTGAAAAGATTTGTGTGATTATATTCTCATTTACTGATCTGAAGAGCTTCTTATGCAATACAAAACCAGCCAATGCAACTAACAAAACCCAAATACACAGATGTGACTCAAGATCTAGAAGAGGTCAGCCTGGCACAAATGTGGCAGATTTACCAATTTTAAAAATAACTCCAGTGGTTCAAATAGTTTGGCTTAAGAAGACTTTCATTCGGGCAGGTCAGTATACATTTATTTATACTTTTTCCCTGGAACCTGCCAAAATGATAACCAATGAGTAAAGGATATAAAAAATAGAAAGTATAGAAGACTCAGTGTGAAAATAGAGACTAAGACAGAAAGCTAAAAATAGGAGATTAGTTTGAAATTCTGGGTGAGGAACCAATAGAACTTCCTGTTTCTTGAGGCCAGATTATCAGCCCCCTCCCCCCCTTTTTTGTATCTCTGTGGAATATCAGAAGTCTCATCTTGGAGATAAGAGTGGAGGGCAGAATTAAGGTTTATAACTGAAAACAGAGTGATTAAGGGCAAATCACTGTCCTCCAGGGTAAGTCTCTAGCCATACCTCCACTTTCTTAGAATGCCTGCAGGGAGTTATCTCCCTGCCCTCACTCTCTAAGTAAGAAGATTAAGGAGTTGTAGAGAAGCTGACTGGTCCCAGGGAGATCCTCACAGTACAGTTTTTTTTTAAGTAAACTCTACACCCATTTTGGAGCCAATACAGGGCCCCAACTCACCACCCTGAGATCTAGACCTGAGCTGAGTTTACGAGTCGGATGCTTCACTGATTGAACCACCCAGGTGCCCCTAGTACAGAGTATTTTTTAAGCAGGCTCATCACTCATTGGTAGAGTTTACTGACTTTTGGTTATCATCTCATCATCATACAGCGAGGGCCATCATTTGGTAAACCTATCAATGCCCATGGAGCTTCTAAACCTTTAATTTTTTCAGTCTTAATGTAAATGGACAGTCAGGGATTGCTAGATACTTGGGAAAAGTCTTTTTTTTTTTAAGATTTTATTTATTCATATGAGAGAGCGAGAGAGAGAGACATAGGCAGAGGGAGAAGCAGGCTCCTTGCAGGGAGCCTGATGTGGTACTCAATCCTGGGACTCCAGGATCATGCCCTGAGCTGAAGGCAGATGCTCAACTGCTGAGCCATCCAGGCATCCCTAGGGAAAAGTCTTTAATACGAAAGCCACAGACCAAACCAACAGAGAAAGGAGTCTCAGCTCTCAGCAAAACAGTGATAATGGTGGATGCAGAAAATTTCCAAAGACCGTAGAAAATGACAACAAAATGCCTTAAATAGAACATTTATCAGAAGGTGGAACAAAAAGTCAAAGAGGTGCTTAATATAAAAGATAAGGTACAAAAATCAGAAAATAAATAGGAGAGCCAGCATCCACCTAATAGTGGTAATAGAGAGACAAGAAAATGGGAAGATTTTGTTAAATGTTTATTTATTTATTTATTTATTCATTCATTCATTCATTTACTTAATTTTATTAAATATTTTACAATGTTATTATTTTTTAAAGATTTATTTATTTATTCAAAGAGAGAGAGAGAGGCAGAGACACAGGCAGAGGGAGAAGCAGGCTCCATGCGGGGAGCCTGATGTGGGACATGATCCCGGGTCTCCAGGATCACATCCTGGGCCGCAGGCTGCACCAAACTGCTGCGCCACTGGGGCTGCCCTATTTATTTATTTTAGAGAGTACACACACAGGTAACACTGGGGGAGGGGGAGGAGGGAAGCAGACTCTTTGTTGAGTTGGGAGTCCACCCTGGGGCTTGATCTCAGGATCCTGAGATTACTACCTGAGCCAAAACCAAGAGTCGGCTGCTTAACTGACTGAGCCATCCAGGCACCCCCAAAATGGGAAGACTTTATCAGATAACACCATAAAAATTTCCAGAAGGACCTCAACTTCTAAAATAAAATTGCCTGTCAGCTGCTTAGCACAATGAGTTATGTTAAAGAGTGGGATGAAAGGATAAACACAACAATCAAGAAATTTGAGGATGCTTAAGGAGAATTTTGAAAGCTTCTGGGCTAGAGAGTGAGTGGGCAAGGGGAAGATCATATACAAAGGTTTAGGAATTAATGTAGCTTCTTTGGACTTTGCAAATGTAACACTGAACTCTGGAGCCTGGAAGGTAATAGAAGAATGTCTTCAAATTGAGAGGAAATTTATTCTCAGCTGACCTTAAAAATGTGATAGAATAAAAGTGTTTTGAGATATTCCATGTCTCAAAATCTGTATCTCACACACCTTTTCTTAAATACTTGCAGATATTTTATTCCAACATAAGACAGTAGACTAAGGAAAAGGAAGACTTAAAACCCAGAGTTCTAACCAGGAGAACAGTGCAAAGAATCCCCATGATAGAGGTGAAGGGGAAGTTCCTGGATATTAGTTATGTAGCAGGCATACAAGTCGACCAACTCAAACTAGAAAGGAGAACAAGACTCAAGAAGGAGATCTTCATTAATAATGTGGAAGGAATAGCTTACCTGCTCATTTAATCATATGAAAAATACCACTGAGGGGTGCCTGAGTGGCTCAGTCTGTTGACTGCCTTCAGCTCAGGTCATGACTGGGTTTGAGTGCCACAAGGGGCTCCCAGTGGGGACCCTGCTTCTCTCTGCCACTTCCCCTGCTTGTGCTCTCTGTCAAATAAATAAGTAAAAAAAAAGAAAAAATTACCATTGAGAAGGGCTTTTTATATTGCATGGAAGAGTTTGGAGATAATTAGTGATAGGTATAAATAAAACCAAGTAAATAAAAAGAAGTTATAAGCTTTTTAAAAGACAAAGTTAAGCAAGAAAAAAAAATATTTAATTTATATAGGCTATGGAAACATCATCATACCTTCCTGTTGCCTTCCTGCCTTCTAGTATCTGCTCACTAGTTACTTGGGGACCCAGGCAGGTGGGAGCTCCATCTCAATTTGAGCACACATTGCCCTAGCAGGGCCAGAGGAATAGCACATTATTTCCATTTGGAAGTGACACAGTATTGCTCATATTTATCGGCCAAAGCAAGTCACGCCTGACTTCAATGTGGGAGAGAAGGGCAGGGAAATATGTTCCTGTCATGTGCCTGCAAGAAGTGGGATGTTTGTGAACTGTTCTAGTGACTATTCGATTAGCAATGAGGAATCATTAAACAGAATACTGACAACTTTTGCTTTAACTGTTTTGTAATGATGAGTGGAGGAATAGGTAGTAGGGGTGGCCAAACTACTAACCTGTTACAGTGGGCAATGTATAAAATTGATCAGTGAAAAAGTAGCAGTATAAATGTATTTATTAACATGGAGATAAATACCAAGGAAAACAGCTAAAAGAGTTAAAATTGGTTTGGCTCTGTTGAGTAAGACTAGAGGTGAGAAAGTTTGGGCAGGCAGCTCTAGTTTTTCATTGTAAGCTTTTATATAATGCTTTCCTAGGGTAAAAAGTAAAAGGTTCTGATAATACCCGTAATTATAAAGTGGTTGTGAGAATCAAATGTGATCATATATATTTGTACATATAATAGCAACTAATGGAAAGCCTGAATTACTGTTTGTGGGCTGATGATAGATTTCTTTCCTTTTCCTGTTAGGTTGTAAGGCTCTCTCCAACCTCAGAGTTCCTGACCTAAAAGGGCTTAGTATACCATTGCCTTCAGTTGTGGAAGTGAGGGTGGGAAGTAGATGCTATTTTCTCTAGAGGGTAAAGAAAGCTTCCACAAAAGAGCTTTTAATCTTCAGACTTCAAGTGCCACTCAAAGCCTTAGTTAGGCTTGAGTAACTTCTCTTGGGATTATGAGAAATGCATGCCATGTATTGTTGGACTCCAGTGACAGATATGTATAAATTGAAATAAACTTGAATTTATTTGCGGTTTTTTCTTTTAGGATGGACCAGAGATTTGTTTTATGAAAGGGGCTTATGAACAAGTGATAAAGTATTGTACTACATACTACAGCAAAGGGCAAACCTTGACACTTACCCAGCAGCAGAGAGATCTGTACCAACAAGAGAAGGCACGAATGGGCTCTGCAGGGCTCAGAGGTAAGGCCATTTCAGCAAGATAATGCTTGCTTGCTTGCTGTCATTGCAGTAGAATTGACATACAATGTTATATTAGTTGTAGGTGTACAGCATATTGATTTGACAAGTCTATATTGTGCAGTGCTCACCATGGTGGCACGGTCACCATCTGTCACCATATAACATTATTATAATATTACTATATTCCCTATGCTGTACTTTTCATCCTCATGATTTTTTTATTTTATAAATGGAAATTTGTACCTCTTTATCCCATTCACCTATTCCTGCACCCTCCTCAGTGATGCCTTCTTTTAATCGTAGCTGAATTCGTGCTTCACATCTGAGCTGTCACGCTGTATCCCAGACTTTGTAGAACATCCATTTCTAAAGTGTTGGCTCTTTGACCCCTAAAATAAAAGAAGTTGGGAATGTAGCAAAATACGAAATTTCTAGTTCTTACAGATATGCATTGTAGAGTAGGTGAAAGGAATTTTATTTTAGACAAGTTTATTTTATGAGAAGGGAGATAGAAGAAAGTAAAGTGATATTTCTCATTTCATCATTTGGACTGTTGTAATTATTGATAGATCTAAAATACTTTCCTAAATACTAATGTTTTAAGCTTTTAATTTGTCCTTTAAACTGAGGCGTTCCTCTTCTGCTGACCTTCCCTTGCCATTCAGAGGAAAGAAGTGTCCAGATTCTGATTTTATGTCTGTGTTGCTGACTAAACAATGATGGGGGAGAGAGGATCTGATATGCACACAAACATTAGGCTGTTAAGGACAGTATATAAAAAAAAATAAAAAAATAAAATAAAAAAAAGGACAGTATATGTAGGATTGAAGAGGCCAGGGTTGGGGCCATACCTGGTTTTTACCTTCTGGATAGTCATCTGGCTTGTGGGGAATATATATACTTATGTAGTCTCTCTCAGGGAAATTGGAAGAGTTGCCTTCCTTAATCTTATTATTTTACAAAATAGAGATCAAGCACAGTCCTGGAAGGAGGAAGCAACTTAATGTAAAAAAATATTCATGGTTCACTTAAGCAAGGGCTATCTATGGTTATAAAACATTTGGATAGACCTACAGAATTTCTGCTCTTATAATAAGCTAGGTTTAGAAAAGTACTCTTGTGGCTTTGAAGGCAGAGTTTTGTTATTCTTAGCAGCTCACAGCAAAGGGGGTCCAAAGTTGGCTTGGGTTTAGAGACATAAAGAAGTTTCAGAGGTTTCACACTTATTTTAACTCATCATCTGAAGGATTATGGAAGTTTGTGTATTTGTGGTTTGGTGTGACATTGTGAAAGAGACCAGAGTTGGGAGAGGAGAAAAATCTCTGTTTTGCAGGGCTTTAGGAAATGTTCTGGTCATTTGTCTCTTGCTTCATGTCTTTTCCTCTGGTTAAGCTCCACTTTCCTCCTCTCCCTAAAATTACCATATTGGGAACAGAAAGACATCAGATTTAACTTGATATGTACCTAAGTTACATCTTCTAAATTATAAGTTTCTTAAATATACTTGGTTCTTAATTTTGAAATTAGAGTAGATTTTGTTTTTATGCTTTAGTCGGGGACCCTCCTCATGAAAAAGGTCTACCTAACCTTGTCCCAAACAGTAGTAGTAGCAGTAGATCTTCATTTGTGCTAAGGAAGCAAACAAACATAGGATACTAACCTCTAGGCTAACCCTCCACTGGGAGAGCCAGGAACTGATCTCCCTTTCTTAGGGTTTACTGACACATGACTTGATACTCACTTTCCCCTTCTGTTGCCTTCTGCCTCTCTTCCAACATCAAGTGGTTCTCCAGGGTGAAAGCCTTTGGAGCTCACATCTACATAATAATTAGGTATATCACTCTGACATTGGGAGAATAGAAGTGGTTTGCCTCTAACCTTGGTTTTCTTTTTTTTTTAATCTTTTTTTTTAATAAATTTATTTTTTATTGGTGTTCAATTTACCAACATACAGAATAACACCCAGTGCTCATCCTGTCAAGTGCCCCCCTCAGTGCCCGTCACCCATTCACCCCCAGCCCCCACCCTCCTCCCCTTCCACCACCCCTAAATTAAAAAAAAATTTATATATTTTTTAGTTTTTTAAATTGGAGTTCAATTTGCCAACATATAGCATATCACCCAGTGCTCATCCCGTCAAGTGCCCCCCCTCAGTGTCCATCACCCAGTCACCCATCCCCCCACCCACCTCCCCTTCCACTACCTCTTGTTCATTTCTCAGAGTTAGGAGTCTCTCATGTTCTGTCATCCTCACTGATATTTTCACTCATTTTCTCTCCTTTCTTGGTTTTCCAAATATATTTAATCCTTCTGCATGAATAAGAATGAATACTGCTTGTGATCTGGTTATGACTTTTCAGTTTACCCATGAGATACATATGTTTAGTTAGTGTGCTTTTTTGTGCTCTCTCTGGTAAATTGTTCCGTCTAATAATATTCCAGATAGTGATACATTTTTGGCTCATAAGGTAGTTATCAGAAGTTCCAGAATTCTGAGGATAAGCTAAATGATGTTTGGAAATGAGCAATACTTTGTGTTATATCTTAAGTGCCCAAGGATGACCGGAAAGTACCAGTAATGATATGGTGGTATTAGTTAGATATTCTTAGAGAACCAAAGTTAAAAATAAGAAATACTTATTAATGTTATGAAAAGAGTAAAAGAATCCAAACTGCTGTTAATTAGTGGTGGTTCAGTCACTTTACAGATTAATTTAGCTCCTAGGGTTTGTCATGTACAAAATTGTTGTATGTTGTATATAGTTAATTAATATAGCCTTCTCTTCAAGCTATTGAATTGTTCTGGAGACCTATAAAATGGAAAGATGAAGATACATTAGTAACAACCCCCTTGAGAGGTGTCTGTTTAAAACTGATTTTCAAAGCTCAATAAACCCATAGTTTCTCCAAATACCTAATTATATTTTCTAAAGAGCTAATAGTTGATGTTTAGAGGAGCTGCATGTAATCGCTTTGTAAAAACATTTATTTGCTCCTTACTTGCCTTTCTGCTTAATAATTCTTTAGTAATAGCCTTAAGCAACTCCATATCTAGAATCATTGATGTCTTAGCATGTAATAATTTTTATATTTAATGATTATATAATAACGTTATAATCTTAAGTGATTTATTTGTCTCTAGCTTTTGTCAGTAAATTGTAATGCTTTTGTGACTCATATTTTCTTTTTTGGGTTTTATTATTTCTTAAGTTCTTGCTTTAGCTTCTGGTCCTGAACTGGGACAGCTGACCTTTCTTGGCCTGGTGGGAATCATTGATCCTCCTAGAACTGGTGTGAAAGAAGCTGTTACTACACTCATTGCCTCAGGAGTATCGATAAAAATGATTACTGGAGACTCACAGGAGACTGCAGTTGCAATTGGTATAACTACGTTGCTTCCTTTTTTTCTTTTTTTAAATAGCTTTTCTTATATGAACTGCAGTACATAGCTTTATGAACCATTAGATATAAAGTGTGTATGTATAATATTGACATCATACAAATTTTTTAAAAGATTTTATTTATTCATTCATGAAAGACAGAGACTGAGAGGCAGAGACATAGGCAGAGGGAGAAGCAGGCTCCCTGTGGGGGACTTGATGTGGGACTTGATCTCAAGACCTTGGGTCACAACCTGAGCCAAAGGCAGACAGTCGACTACTGAGCCACCCAGGTGTCCCTGACATTATACAATTAAAATGAACTCTCTTATTTACTCATACTCTATATAGAATTGTGGGCAAAAATTTATTTTAGGCTAAAAATACTATTAATTGAAAATGCATAACTGTTAGGAAATCACATTTACTTTATTCACAAAAGAATAGTTCATTATTTTTAATCTCATAATCCACTATATTGTTGGATTATGTTTAATCTCATAATCTAGATTTTGCGCATGAAAGGAAACATGAAATTTAGTTTTCCCTTTAAATTTGAGGATTATTTGCAAAGCAGACTTTGACTTGTACCTGATTTGAAAGAAAATAGCTTGTGTCTGTATTCTCTTGTTACATCATGTATGTGCTTATGTTGTTTGAATGTCATTTAAGATTACCTTAAGAAACGTAAGAATCGAACGGCACCTGGGTGGCGCAGTTGATTAGGTGTCTGACTCTTGATTTCAAGTTGGATCATGATCTCAGGATTATGTGATTGAGCCCCCTGTTGGTCTCCATTCTGGGCATAGAGCCTGCTTGGGATTCTCTCTCTCCGTTTCCTTCTCTTCCCCGCCTGCACCCCCCATATATATATGGGGAAAAAAAAGGAACCCTGAAAGTTGATCTCCTGGAATTTATAAATTGTAATTCATGCTGATAAATTTAAGGTTTGCTAAAATCCATTAATTCTGATTTTATTAATATAGCAAGAGACTGGGATAGGAGTTTCACACTTTATGTTATCTAAGAAGAGTATGTCACGAGAAACAACATTGTTGGGAAGATTATACCTAGAAAAAAAATTTTTTTTTTTAATTTTAACATCTATTTTCTTTCACATGTAACTACATGATTACCATAGATCCACCAATGTTTTGTCTGGCTTTGGATACTTTCCTTAAAATGCATTCTGATCTTTATTAAAATTGAATTACTAAGCAAAACCTGATTGGCCCTGTTTCAGTTCTTAGGTATGGTGGGTTAAATTGTCAAAACTCTTATTCTTAAGTTTAAACAAAAATAAAACAGAAAACCCTAAACTTTCAGGTAAGTTTGTCTTACTAGTAATTTGTTTTGGTGATCCCTTGGTATAAAGACATTTTGTACTTAAAAAGAGAATGAATAACAAATCATATAAAGTGAACCTTATGTTGACTAGCCTAGCAAGCAAAACTAATTTGTTCAATTATGTTTTCTCTCCCATTTCACCTTAGCTAGTCGTCTGGGATTGTATTCCAAAACTTCCCAGTCAGTCTCAGGAGAAGAAATAGATGCAATGGATGTCCAGCAGCTTTCACAAATTGTACCAAAGGTAGGCCTAAACTTAAAGCCTTTTTAGATGGAAAGGCCTTATTCCAAGTGTTACAATTTCTGTTACCTTCATGAAACTGTTTGAGAACAGTGAGGACAGGACTATCTAATTGATCCAAATCATGAAATGAAATCTCATGATTGGAGATCCCTGGGTGGCACAGCGGTTTGGCGCCTGCCTTTGGCCCAGGGCGCGGTCCTGGAGACCCAGGATCGAGTCCCACATCGGGCTCCCGGTGCATGGAGCCTGCTTCTCCCTCTGCCTATGTCTCTGCCTCTCTCTCTTTCTCTCTCTGTGACTATCATAAATAAATAAAAATTTGAAAAAAAAAAAAAAAAGAAATCTCATGATTGAAGTCAGTCTTCTCATTAAGAATATTTATGATACAGTTGGAGTATTTATAGTCATTTGAATACAGAGAGCAAATTGTTAACTTTAGCAAGAACCATCTTTCCTCTCAGGAGGGTATATGGAGGTTAAGTGGTTGAATTACATTTACAAAGTACAGAGTGGAGAGAGATCATTACTTTGTATTTCTTACCATTTTGTTTTAAATGTGTCATGAATACTTAATGCTTTTTAAAGAAAATCGAGGTATCATTTTCGTACAGTAAAATTTACCCTTTTTAATATACAGTTCTAAGTTTTGACCAGTGGATACAGTCTTGTAACCAACCACAGTCAAGATCTAGAACAGTTCCATCATATCCCCAAATTCTTCTATGTCTTTTTATAGTCAACTCCTCTCTCTACTTTTAACACTTGGCAACCACTGATTTGTTTTCTGTCCCTATAAATTTGCCTTTTCCAGAATGCTTTAAAAATGGAATCATATAGTATGAGGCTCTGGATCTGCTTTTTCCATTTAGCATAATGCTTTGAGATTTATCCATGTTGATTGTATTAATGATTTGTTCTTTTCTTAAATTGCTGAGTACAGTAGTATTCAGTGTTTGGGTGAATGTGTTACTTGTTTACTGGTTTAAAGACATTTGTATTATTTCCAGTTTTTGTTGATTATGACTAAAGCTACCATAAACATTTGTGTTTAGATTTTTGTATGAAAATAAATTTTCATTTCTCTTGGATAAATACCTAGGGGTAATTGTTGGGTCACAAGGTTATATGCTTAACCTTTTAAGAATTTTCCAAGTTGTTTTACAAGGTGGCTTTATTATTTTGCATTCCCACCAGTAGTGTTTGAAAGTTCTAAATTCTCTGCATCCTCACCATCATGTGAGATTGTCATTTTCTCTCACACCTCATTCTAATAGGTAGAAAGTGGATCTTTGTATGGTTTTAATTTGCATTTCCCTCACAGTTAATGATTTTTAATATCTTCATGTGCTTATTTGTCATCCATATATCTTTTTTTATATATATGTATCTTCTTTAGTGAAGTGTCTGCCCTACCTATTTTTAAAAGATTGTATCTGTTTTCTTAATGACTTTTGAGAGTTCTTTATATGTTATAGATACAAGTCCTTTATCAGATACTTGTTTTGAAAATAGTTTTTGCTAGTCTATGGCTCATCTTTTTATTTATTTTTATATTTATTTTTTTCTTTGTTTAGATTTTATTTATTTATTCATGAGAGACATAGAGAGAACGCAGGGACATAGGCAGAGGGAGAGAAGCAGGCTCCTTGCAGGGAGCCCGATGTGGGACTCTATCCCAGAACTCTTTGCTAGTCTATGGCTCATCTTTTTATTTTATTTTTATTTATTTATTTTTCTTTGTTTAGATTTTATTTATTCATGAGAGACATAGAGAGAAGGCAGGGACATAGGCAGAGGGAGAGAAGCAGGCTCCTCGCAGGGAGCCCGATGTGGGACTCTATCCCAGAACTCGGGATCACACCCTGGGCCAAAGGCAGATGCTCAACCGCTGAGCCACCCAGGCGTCCCTCTTTTCATCTTTTAGCACTTTCAGAGAGTAGGAGTTTCAAATTTTGATGAAATGTAGTTTATCATTTTTTCTTTTATGGATAATGATTTTGATGTCTTTTCTGAGAATACTATGCTTAACCCAATGTCACAAAGAATTTTTTTTTACCTATATTTTCTCCCAAAAGTCTTATATATTTTTAGATTGTTACACTAAGGTTTGTGATCCATTTTTTTAAAAATATTTTATTTATTTATTCATGAGAGAGAGAGAGAGAGAGCGAGAGAGCGAGAGAGGCAGACACAGGCAGAGGGAGAAGCAGGCTCCATGCAGGGAGCCTGATGTGGGACTTGATCCTGGGACTCCAGGATCATGCCCTCGGCTGAAGGCAGACGCTAAACTACTGAGCCACCCAGGGATCCCTTGTGATCCATTTTGAATTTTTGTGTATGTTGTGAGAAATGGGTTAAAGTACAGGTTTTTGCATATGGATGTTCAATTGTTTCAGCACCTTTTGTTGAAAAGACTTTTTTTCTTTTAGTTTAAATAAACTGAAAAGAAAGAAAAAGACTGCTTTTTTTCTTTGAAATGCCTTTTTTTAAACCTTTGATTGTAATGCTTTTCCAACAGATTATTTATAGGAAAAGTATCTTCTTTTTTTTATAACTCGTTAACTTCTTCAGAGCCTTTAGGTGTAAGATTATTTTATTAGGATGCTTTGGCTGTTGGGGTTTAGAGGAAGGACTTCACAAAGCCTCTTTTGTGGGTACATAAGTTCTGTAGGAAGGGCCTCGTAAAGGATAGGCAGTATTATTGCCTCTAAGTTCTTGACAGTTTGAGTTTCTTGTCCTTATTGTTACTTGACCTATTTATGCACATATATTTGTATATCCTTTAAAATAAGTGTTTATCATCTGACCTTTATTTTTTTTTTTAAGATTTTATTTATTTATTCGTGACAGACAGAGAAAAGCAGAGACACAGGAAGAGGGAGGAGCAGACTCCATGCAGGGAGCCCGATGTGGGACTCGATCCCGGGACTCCAGGATCGTGCCCTGGGCTGAAGGCCGGCACTCAACCAGTCAGCCACCCAGGAGTCCCCTAAAGCTTTTTATAATAGAATTTTCTGATTAGAAAATTTATTCATTAGTAGTATATGTTCAAATTGTAGAAAAACTGGAAACCTAAAAAAGTAAGAGTCAGAATGGGAACTGCCTGTAATATAATCCAGATACTCAGAGGTTGTACACTCACAGAGCATCCAAAATAATAAATTAACCCATGTCTTTTTAAAAAATGTGCTTAACAAAACTTGGTTGGACCCTTTATAGTGTTATAAATATTTGTTAAACATAACTTCAGCATTCCTGAATCATTAGTTCTTATAAAACATGTTTTTAGTTGGTGTATAATATTTTGCTTCAGTATACTGTGCATGTATAAACACACAGCAAATACGTGGTTATATAGTCCTTTTTTTGTTGAAGTTTTAGCTTCCATTTATTTTTTGTTACTGTAAACAATTACTTCAAGGATAATAACAGTAAGCAACTATTTACCATGTGCCAGGCAATGTATATATTACATATATTATCTATTTACTTCTAATAGTCATCTATATTATAAAAGATAGGCAACCCCATTTTTACAGATGGGGAAATTGGGGCCCAGAGAATATGAGATACTTTGAAGTCTCAGATCTGATGAGTGGTGTCAGTAGCATCAGGACTGGAGCCCAGGTCTGTGTGACTCTCAGGTCATATGTTGCTTACTGATTTATTGAATATGTTATACACGACATTATTATACACGACTTTGTACCCATCTCTGATTATTTCTGTAGAATAAATTCCTACATGTGAAATGATTGGACCAATGACCAACATATTTACAAAACTCTTAACACATACTGATGAATTGTCCTCTGAAAAGATTTTAGTTTATATTGCCACAAACTGTCTTTCATACAGTAGTAGTAAGTCCCTAGGCCTCCAGCCTCACTTGTGGTTAGATTTTAGGTATAGTTACAAGTAGACATGTACTGTTTTACTCGTTTATCTTTTTTGTATTTCAGGCTGTAGTTACTCATGAATGTTGTTTTCAGAGCATCTGGGAACAGTGTGGGCATTTGCTTTATTTTGCATTTAGTGAGGAAGCTATTTCCATATTTGAATGGGAGTGTGTGTGTCTCTCCTTTCCTGTTAGTTTCTTCCTGACATTTATTTCTGAGATATATTCTGTATTAGGTTACCTGGGAGTATTGAGACGGAATATACATTAGTAAATATATGTGAAATCTGCAGTTAATTAAACATTTTCCCATTAGACCTTTGTTCAACCTTTTCTTCTGAACCTATTCCCAGAGATGGTAACAAGTAGTGAAACTGACAGATTTGAAGTTTCATTTTATTTGCTTTCTTGGTTCATTCTCTGGGCTCTCTGATAAAAATGCTAATGAACTCTGAAAACCAACTTACAGGTACTTAGGGAAGTAGCAAATTGCAAATTACAAATTACAACATCAGCTTGGACAAATTACATCTTTTCCAGATAAGAGTTTTGTGCATTAATTATGGCAGATACCCTGATGCTATTCCAAAGAGACTTAAACAGTATAAAACCTAAGCCTTGTGAGAAGCTTGTTGAATGACTTAGTCATACTACTCTAAAAAGGAATTCTATAAATACCAGGGCTTCCGTCCAGGTATTTCTTTTGACTACCTAAATCTTTTCTCCACGTATTATTAATGAATTGTTTTGGTTTTTTTGGGCTTAGCTGGACTCCTCTTGTCCCCCAATTTTGTTTTCTTTCCCACTTTATCTTGTGTTTATGGAGCTCTCTTATAACCAACATGTATACTTGGTCTTACGGTTTTACTTCCTGTCAGTTTGAATAGCTTTTCTTTTATCCATGTTAAAAGCAAAAAACTTCTCTTCTAAATTTCCAGCTTACTGAGATTTTCCCATATACTAAATCTCCTTAACTCTGTTCGTTATTAAAATGTTTTTTAGTTTCCTCTTTCTGTAATTCAGTCTCATTCCAGATCTAACATTGCTCTGTCCTATTGACCTAGAGCCATACTACTTAAAGAGTCGTATGGAAACTGAATTT